GTGGGGTAAGGCAGTCTTGCCTAGAAGGCAGGGAAGATAAACGACCCCGGAACGCTCCGGCGGGGCTAGCCCCAGCTCTCAAAAGCTCTCCAGGGTCCCCCTATTTCCCATCACGCCTCGCGCGGCGTCCGGAGGGTGTCAGCGACATCCAGGCTCGGGAAAGGCATGGTTTTCTTTCCCCGCTTTTTCTTTGGGCGCAGAGGGTTTCTCAGCACCACTGAGTCTTAGCAAGCTTGGAAATGCTCCCACCTTTACTTTAATTAGCATCTTCTTCCCAGGCTGGGGCTGCAAGTGGATAAATTGCTGCTTCTCCCGCTGCGGTGGCCGCTGCCCCTTCCCAGCACTCCGCCCACAAGAGTCACTTCTACTTCCGGGTCACTCTCTGGTTCCACCCTCCCGTCTTCCCATCGGGTTCCCGAAAGATTCAGAGATGACTCCTGGGTTTCCTTTTAGTGGTGTTGTAGACAAGAAAGAGACAGCCACTTTAGTCACAGCAGCGATGATGTCTCTAAGATTTATGACCGTTTCCTAACGAGCCAAAGTTAGTGGAAAGCAAGTGGGGCGGAGAGGGGGTCGTTTTTCCCATCATGCTCGGCGGTATTCCGCCTCTGGCATCCTGGGAGTTGTAGTTCGCCGCCGCTGGGATTCCAAGACAAATCCCAGTGAGTGAACTCTGTTTCCCAGAAGACCACACGTGGTCCTGCAGAAGGCGAAATTCCGGTTGGTGGTTTTAGCCGGCAATTAGCGGAACCTGTTGGCGTTGCCCGCTAGGTTTAGCAAGGCTGTAGGACACTAGTTGCTAAGCAAAGGTACCTTTGGTCAACTGCCACCTCGGCCGAGCCTACAGGAAGTAAGTATCCCTAGGCCGGAAGCTGATCGAGACCTCCGGGTTCCTTCTCTCACAGTCAGTCCTCACTCCAAATTACTTTTTGCTGGGACGTGGGAAGAAAGAATAGTGGGATAAGCAGTGCACCGTCAGAACCACCCACCACTCTTTCCCAGTTCTCTTTAATCAGTTAAAAAGGAATCGAGAGAAATCTCCACAGGAGTTTGACCTGTATAACAAACTTCCATAACTTAAGCGAGGAGAGATAGACCCTTCCGTGCACCATCAGGATGTTGAGGTCCTAGGGGGATGGATTTTGGATTTGGTTCTTTCTCACTTTTTGTCTTCCAGCCCTTAGATCCGTGGTTTGTTGAGGTCCTAGGGGGATGGATTTTGGATTTGGTTCTTTCTCACTTTTTGTCTTCCAGCCCTTAGATCCGTGGTTTCTTTAGACCCCGCCATGCCTCATATCGATAATGATGTGAAGCTAGACTTCAAGGATGTCCTGTTGAGGCCAAAACGCAGCACCCTTAAATCTCGAAGTGAGGTGAGCCTGCTTCTCTTCTTGCTCTCTTTTGCACAAGCACCTGGTGGGCCAGGACCAAAAAAAAGCTGCTTTGTTCTTGTTCTCATGTGATGAATGAAACGATCAGATTCCTGTTTCTATTTGCAGGTGGATCTCACAAGATCCTTTTCATTTCGGAACTCAAAGCAGATGTACACTGGTGTACCCATTATTGCTGCCAATATGGATACTGTGGGCACCTTTGAGATGGCAAAGGCTCTCTCTAAGGTGGGATTTCTTGTATGCTACTTACCTAATGTTAGATTAGGCTAACTGGTTTCAGAGGCATTCGCCTTCTTATTCCCAGTTAGCTCTCTGACAGCAGTTAGAATTCTTGGATGTACTATTTCTCTGGTACTAAGGCCCCTTTTACCCTATCTGTTCAAAGGGCCATCTGACGGTGGGGTGTGATTGTACATGCCTGTAATTCCATATATGTGGTAGTTTGGAATGGGGAGAGTTTCAGTGTGAGGGCAGCCTTGGCAAAAATGTTAGCAAGACCCCATCTCAACAAACAAGCTGGGCATGCTGGGGCTAGTCTGTCATCTTAGCTAGCTACTAGGAGACATAGGTTGGAGGACTGCAGTCTGGCCCTGGGCAAAAATGCTAGACTCTATAAAAAAAAAAAAAGCTAAAGCAAAACAGGGCTAGAGGTGTGGCTCAGCAGGTAGAGTGCTTGCTTAACAAGTTTGAGACACTGAATTTAGACTCCAGAACAGCTCCTACACACAGAAAAAGAAAAAGGGCCATCTGAATTAATGAGATTCAAAGTTACGTTTTGTCCCATTTTTCTGATATATGAACAGAACTTTTATTTCCCCTAATTTATATACCTCACCAACTTTCCCCATTTCTTAGGCTATTCTTTCCCAACTATATTTATCCCTCAGTCACATCATGTGTGCAGCAGTAAGCATTTACTGTTTTGGTCTAGAAACTAAATCCAGTTTGAGTTCTCAATTCCTAACTAGAATATCTTAGAGAAGCAGCTTACTCATTTTTATGCCTGCTATTCTTTTTTTTTTTTTTTTTTTGGGTCCAGTCGTGGGGCCTGAACTCTGGGCCTGGGCGCTGTACCTCAGCTCTTCAGCTCAAAGCTAGTACTCTACCACTTGAGCCACAGCGCCACTTCTGGCTTTTTTCTTTTTGCTTATGTGGTGCTGAGGAATCGAACCCAGGGCCTCTGGCATGCAAGGCAAGCGCTCTACCACTGAGCCACCTTCCTAGCCCCTGCCTGCTATTCTTTTGTTGTTGTTTTGTTTTGATTTTTTGGTTGTGGGGCTTGAACTTAGGGCCTGGGCACTGTTCTCGAGCTTGTTTTGCTCAAAGATAGCACTCTACCACTTTGAGCCACAGTGCCACTTCCGGTTTTTGAGAGGGTAATTGGAAATAAGTGTCTCAAGGACTTTTCTGCTTGAGCTTACTTGGAATCTCGATTCTCAGATTTCAGCCTCCTGAGTAGCTAGGATTACAGATGTGAGCCACCAGGACCCAGCATGCCTGCTATTCTTTCTTCTTCTTCTTTTTTTTTTTAATATATTTTTATTGTGAAAATACTGTACAGAGGGGTTACAATTACATGGGTAAGATAATGAGCACATTTCTTATCAAGCATTATAGCCTCCTGCTTTGTTTCCCCTTCCCATCCCTTTCTATCCTCCCCCATCCCCCCCACACCAAAGTTGTAAAGTTCGTTTTTTGACATAATGACTTGTACATCTCATTGTTGCAATGGGTCCTCCTGTATCCCTGTTTTAACAATCTGTTTTTTCCCTTCCCCTCCACATATACCAACATCATATATAGTGAAAGCAGGGGTTATACCATGGGGGAGGGACATACAAATGCCTGCTATTCTTTTGAAAAAAATCTTCCTCTTCTTTAAGTCCTAGGTTGCTGATAGTTTCTGGGACATGGCCCCAATGGAATATGTTTTTCTTACATACAGGTTGTTCACTTTGAAAATGGAAGACACTGCTCCTGTCAGTAATATTACCTGCCTCTATGCTTGTAGCTGAGAAGGTAGATAGTTACGTGGGCACTTTTGACAATATACACACTCTGCTGGTTAATCTGTGAAGCATTAGTTGAATTCTGTTGCTATTTGTAGCTTTGTTTACCTTATGGACTTAATCTCCCTGCCTAATTTTGATTGTTGTGTCTTTGTGGAATGTTTGTCACCATTTCTCTGAGGCTGATAGTTACACAGTTTTATTACTTTATTCCTGTTCCTCTTTACTAACTGCTTAGGAATCCTTTTGCCCATTGTCAGTCTACCCTGACCAGTAGACTTGAAGAATAGTTAATCTATTAGGTTAGTAGACATGGCTATATTACATGAGCTGTATTAGGGACTGACTTGCTATAATATGGATGAATGCTAAAGAAATCAGATTTTTAGCTGGGCACTGGTAGCTCACACTGCAGTCCTAGCTACTCAAGGGCTGAAATTTGAGGATTGTGGTTCAAAGCCAGCTTAGGCAGGAAAGTTTGAGATTCTTTTTTGGGGGGTCCAGTCGTGGGCCTGAACTCTCGACCTGGGCGCTGTCCCTCAGCTCTTCAGCTCAGGGCTAGTGCTCTACCACTTGAGCCTCAGTGCCACTTCTGGCTTTTTGCTTATGTGGTGCTGAGGAATCGAACCCAGGGCCTCATGCATGCAAGGCAAGTGCTCTACCACTGAGCCACCTTCCCAGCCCCAAGTTTGAGATTCTTATCTCCAGTCAGCCAACAAAAAGCTGTAAGTGGAACTGTGGCTCAAGTGGTAGAGTGACAGCCTTGAGTGGAAAAAGCTCAGGGATAGCACCCAGGCCCGGAGTATTTTTATGTTTTTTGGTCAGTCATGGGGCTTGAACTCAGGGCCTGGGTGCTGTCCCTGAGCCTCTTTGTGCTGAAGGCTGGGCTCTAGCACTTGAGCCACATTGCTACTTCCAGCTTTTTTGAATAGTTTACTGGAGATAAGAATCTCATGGGGACTTTTCTGCCCAAGCTGGCTTTGAACCGTGATCCTCAAATCTTAGCCTCCTCAGTAGCTAGGGTCACAGGCATGAGCCACTGGCACCTGACACAATGTTTTGTTTTGTTTTGTTTTTTTCCAGTCCTGGGGCTTGAATTTAGGGACTGAGCACTGTCCCCAAGCTTTTTGCTCAAGCACTCTACCACTTCAATCACAGCACCACTTCTGGTTTTCCGTGTATGTAGAACTGAGGAATTGAACCCAGGGCTTCATGCATGCTAGCAATCACTCTACCAATAAGCCATATTCCTAGCCCCACAAATGAGTTGTTGGTGTTTTTTTTTTGTTTGTTTGTTTTTGCTCAGTTGTGGGGCTTGAACTTTGGGCCTGGGCACTGCCCTTGAGCTCTACAGCTCAAGGCGAATGCTCTACCACTTGAGCCCAGTGCCACTTCCATTTTTCTGGTGGTTAATTGGAGATGAGAGTCTCATGGACTTTCCTGCCCAGGCTGGCTTTGAACGGTGATCCTCAGATCGCAGCCTCCTGAGTAGCTAGGATTACAGGCATGGTCCACCAGTGCCCGGCTCATAAATGATTTTTTAAGGCTTGGTTTGTACTAGATGTTTATCATGCCACATTATACCTGTGTATCTCCCAGTTCTGTTGACGTCCTAGAGCAACTTCCTTTATCAACATCTTCACAGTAGAATGTTATTAAGAAAGCAGAATTTAGTACCAGTTTTAGCTACAGTGTTGATGATAAACTGAGTAAGTGTCTAGTTGCTACAGATACTTGACTGGGTTTTTTGTCAGCCAAAAGATTTGTGTTGTCTCAGCCAACTGCTATCTCATGTTTGCATGTTTGCACCTTAGAATAACATAAACATTCAGAGTGGCTTTTAAATACCTTTTTCAAGTATTGCAATATTGCTTGCAAGTTGTGCAGTTGGATTATGAGCCTGCCAAGTCATCATTATCTTTCAGCTTGGTTGGATGAAATTTTGTACTTTTGGATACATTTGCATACAAAAAACTTGTAAAAATTATGTATGCAAAATACTTTTGTATACTTTTGACATATATCTATCACCCAACATGAACACTTGTTCTTTCATCCAGTGAGAATGGAGCAAGGATGTGATAGCTCTTTGGCTACTTATCTTTTGTGGGAATCTAAACATACTGAATTACTGCTTACAAATGAGCCAGAAAAGACCAGAAACATATTAATACTTTGTTACCTTAAGAGGGAGGATTAAGTGAATCACTGACTCCATATTCTCTTCATGGTTGGCCACTACTTGTCCCACTATCTCCACTTTACCAACAGCATGTCCTTATCACCTTGTAGATATGTGCTGGCAGGAAAAATACAATCCTGTTAACAGAGTACCTGAGTAGGAATATTTGACCAGTACTAGCTTTTGGTAAAAAAGCTGTGCTGGGATTTGTAGGGAGAGTAATGGTTCAACTCAAATCTCAGCTCAACCATGAACTTCTTAAGTTGGTTTCCTTTCAAATCCCAGTCATTTTATTAGAATAGTATAAAGGTCTCTTTCTAAGAAAGGAACCTAGTAGGGGTTTCTTTTTTTATGTTTTTTTTTCTTCTCCCCAGTTTTCCCTCTTCACTGCTGTCCATAAGCACTACAGCCTTGATCAGTGGCAAGACTTTGCTAGCAAGAATCCTGACTGCCTTGAGGTAATGATCTGCCCCGTTCCCTTTCTTATCCGAGTTTTCTAGGAAACTTTTTTTTTTCCGGGGGTGGGGGGGGGTTACTGGAGATCAACCCTCACCTTTAATGCTTGCTGACTGCTTATTAGATCTTTGGTTGCTACAGGTTGATCTAATGCTCTCATGTCAATAGTCCTGTTTCTCCCACAGTATCTGGCTGCCAGCTCAGGCACAGGCTCTTCTGATTTTGAGCAGCTGGAACAGATCCTAGAAGCTATTCCCCAGGTGAAATATATTTGCTTGGATGTGGCAAATGGCTATTCTGAACATTTTGTTGAATTTGTAAAGGACGTACGGAAGCACTTCCCCCAACACACCATCATGGTATGTTTGTTACCCTGTAGTTTTTACATTCCTTTCTTGCTACTCCTTGTTGACTCTCCATTTTGTCATATCAGCTCATTTCTCTTCTATTGTACTATGATATTCCTAGTCTACATGATGTAACTAGGTGATCACTCATGGTTCTAAGCTGCAAATAAGTTTATTGTCTCTGACCCTACAAATCCAGAGTCCCTGACATCACTCATAAAACTACGATCAAACATTTATGCATTAGGGGCTGGAAAGGTAGCTCAGTGGTAGAGTGCTTTCCTTGCATGCATGAGGCCCTGGGTTCGATTCCTCAGCACCACATAAGCAGAAAAAGCAGGAAGTGGTGCTGTGGATCAAGTGGTAGAGCGCTAGCCTTGAGCTGAAGAGCTGAGGGACAGCACCCAGGCCCAGAGTTCAGGCACCATGACTGGCAAAAAAAAAAAATCTAAAAAAAAAACATTTATGCATTGTACATACTTGTGGTACAAATCACATCTGCACACAGAAATGGAACTGTTCTAGTCATATAAAAAGTGTCACATGAAAACAAAACCCGAAGTGTTACAGGAGATATGTTTTATTTTTAAAGAAGCTTAAGGAAATAAGTCCTTATTAATTTCAAAAGGATGTTTGTGCTGCCCCTCAAGAACAAGTGCATCTGGGCAGAGCAGGTGTTTAGCCTATATTTCCGTCTTCTCCCTTTCTCTAAAGCCAGCCATAGAGCTTTAGGACCAGCTATATTGGAACCCCCTGGCTAAGTCAGATCTGAGCTTGGTTTTAAAGTTTTCTTTGCTTCCCTGAATGCTTCTCCAAACCACCTGTCTTCCTGATGATCTGCTTTCTTGCCTGAGGCAATAAAGTGTGTCCTGGACCTCAGCTTTACCCTAGTTAAACAGTGACACTGGCCATTTTTCACCTTACCTTTCAAAGGACTCTGGAAATGAGTGAGAAATGGTATCCTTTTAAATAGCTAGTATAGAAGCCCTCAGAGGGCCTAGTAGAAGGCACTACAGTATGCTTGAAATAACACTAGCAGGTCATATAGTCTAGGTATGCTATAATGAGAGCATGAAAGCTCCTCTCCATTCTTGATCCTAAGGATGCTCTATTTTGCTGTCTCTCAGGCAGGGAATGTGGTAACAGGAGAGATGGTGGAAGAGCTAATCCTCTCTGGGGCTGACATCATCAAAGTGGGAATTGGGCCAGGTAAGTTGGTTGGTTCATCAGGACCACTGGCTATCCCATCAGTGGCAAGCATCCGTGGAACACTTCACTTCCACCGTTGTACCTACAGGTTCTGTGTGTACAACCCGGAAGAAAACGGGAGTAGGGTATCCACAGCTCAGTGCAGTGATGGAATGTGCGGACGCTGCACATGGCCTCAAAGGCCACATCATTTCAGTAAGTCTCAAGGGCTGGCAGGATATGAGTCTGCCAAACAGGAGCTTTCTCATGTGGCTTCATCCACTTTGAGGTGGGTTGGTGGGAAGTCACTGAGAGGGTTTGGGAAGTCCGTGTTGTGTCTTCACAGTGCTCCTTACTTTGTAGGATGGAGGCTGCAGCTGCCCTGGGGATGTGGCCAAGGCTTTTGGTAAGGTTTGTAAAGAGGTTAGGAGGACCCAGAAGCTGAATCCTGTAGAAAAGGATGAGTTACCTCTGAGTGTCTAGGATCAGGCCAGAGAAGCTCAAGAAGCTACTGAGATTCCTTCCTAATATGAACTAGTCTCCCAATGCATATGGTATCACCTGCGGCAAGCCAGCAGAGGAAACTTTTAATTTTCCAAGTGTGAGCAAGGGCCATCTATACTGTCCCCTAGACTGTTGGGCAATGTAGATTCCTGAGCCCCACAGCGGGCCTACAAAACCAGCCTCCAAGGGACGGGGCTGCAAGTATTTTCCCCCCCCTTTCCTTAGTTTCCCAAGTGATCCTTACGTTAAGTGGGAGACCTCTGCTCTTGGGTCAGGTAAAAATCACACTGCTGGGAGCAGTAAAATAGTATGACCAAAGGATGGCACTGGCAGGAAAAGGGAAACAGTAGCTAAATCTTGACAAGCCAGCCAGTGGATCATGCCTGTAATCCTAGCTATTTAGGAGACTTGTGACCTACAGGATTGAGGTTCAAACCCAGCCCTGGCAGAAAAGCCTCTAAAATTCTGTCTCTAACATAAACCAACAAAAAAGCAGGGCTAGAAGCATAGCTCTTGCAGAGCAAGAAAGCACAAGGTCCTGAGTTCAAGCCCTGATACTGGGGGGAAAATGCTGAAGAAAACAGACACACTGGGAAGTAGAAACCAAGGCAAAGCAGGCCTGTGTGCATCGTGGGTCAGCTGGGCACACAGAACTGAGAAGATGTTCAAGTTGTCAGCACTGAAGATTTGGCATAAATTGCTTTTATGGGTGGCCATGTGGGCACCTTGGCCACCTATATCTTTCTCACCTCTGGTTTTGGCAGGGGCAGGTGCTGACTTTGTGATGCTGGGTGGCATGCTGGCTGGACATAGTGAGTCAGGAGGTGAGCTCATTGAGAGGGATGGTAAGAAGTACAAGCTCTTCTATGGAATGAGTTCTGAAATGGCCATGAAGAAGTATGCTGGTGGCGTGGCTGAGTACAGGTATGTGTGGAGGCTGGGCAGCTGAGGGTTCTGGCAAAGCTATCTAGCAGATGTGGTTTCATGGGTACTAGGTAATGAACAGTAGAATGCTCAGGAAAAAAAAATGACAGAGGGAGGCTAAATGCTAGAGTTGGGGACAAGCTTAAAGAAGAGAAGGTAATAACATTTTTTTCCTATTCCAAAGGGCCTCAGAGGGAAAGACAGTGGAAGTTCCCTATAAAGGGGACGTAGAATATACTATCCGTGACATCCTAGGAGGGATCCGGTCTACATGTACCTATGTGGGAGCAGCTAAGCTCAAAGAGTTGAGCCGGAGAACGACCTTCATCCGAGTCACCCAGCAGGTGAATCCAATCTTCGGTGACACACACTAGAACCAAGCAGTCCTGCTCTCTCAGGACAGCAGCACTCTACCACATGGCCCTCCAAGTTAGGCTTGTTACCCATTCCAGCTGGTATGGTAGTGTATTACTTTATTAGTTCCTATCAGCTCAATTCCTGCAGGCTCCTGCATTAATGCTATATTTCTCTGCATACACACCCACTGGGAAGAAAGAAAACAATCAGAAAATAAAGACAATCAAATGGGAATCAAGAGACTCAGCATCTTGAAGATTATTAAGAGAAAAAAAGATACTAATTGATATATAAATGCTTTACATGGCCTTGGTCTGGAAAAGGCAGGCTTTTGTAATCATGTCTTCTTAATCAGTTTCATTAAATGAGATCTTCAAATATCTGAAAAGCTTAGAAGTATTTATGTTTTTGAAATAACTCAGTAAAAAAAGAGATCACATTGGCTGTAGAGAGATGCTAGTGCTTTCTGCACAATGCTGGCATTTGGGTGCTGTTTCAGGGTGGGCAAAGGAAGGATTCACACTGACCCAGAAGATGGATACTTGAGTATTAATTAACATGAATTATTCCATTGTAACACCACCACCCCAAGTAACGTGGCAGTGAGAGAATTTACACAGCATATTCTGGCATTAGGCTATTTTCAGAATAGTGCAAGGATAATTTCCACATTCTCAAGCCCAGTAACCATCCTGGGCAGAAATGAGTAACACTTTCCAAAGGAAGTAAAAAGGCAAAGGGATTCTTCCAGCTCTAGAGGGGCCAGTTCTGTTAATAAGGAATGACTGCTGACCTATAGAGAGACTTAATTTCCCTCCTTTACATCAAGACAATATTATAATAAGTTGAAATATCAAGAATTACAGTTGTAAGCAATGAAGCCAGGCAACTCAAGCCTGGGCTTCCATTTCAGTCACTAAGCTGCCTACAGAACTGCAGAGGCAGATGGGCAGGTGTAGAGCACATTCCAGTGCTATCATAGAAGGCTAGAGCTGTCTATGCAGTCATGGGAAGGAGCAAGCAGGCTATTGGGGCCAGAAATGGGAAGATGTTCACAGAACGTAGGGATCAAGGTGTCAGACTTTGTCTTCTGATAGCTTCCCAGAGACTCCTGCAGAGAAGGGAGCATTGAGAGCCTATCATCAGAAACCACTCCCTGAACCCCTCTCTAACCTGGAGGAGTGCATTTGTCTTGTTCAACCCTCCTTTTTCCCTTCTTACTCACCTTTCCTTCTCTTTGACTATTTCCTTCCTCATCAGAGTCCAGAACCAAATCCCCTATGGTAATGACTGAGCTGCACAGAGATGGAGAGCACACTGCAGAAAAGAAAGCAGAATCAAACTACTCTAGGTAAATTCAGGCCCTGAAAAGTCCCCAAGACAAAAGGCTGTTGGAGCCAATCCTGGTTTAGTCCACCTACCTCGTTTCTTGGCCCTAGGAGGTGATAATGACAGTCTCAGGGGATCCATGTAGCAATCCAAGGAATTCCTGAGGTAGAAGAAACAAAAAGATAGGGTGAAGGGGAAACAGGGAAAAGAATGAGCTCCTGGGAGGGAAAAACAACTCTTCCACTCACGCCTTTTGTTCTGCAGCAGACAAGTCTGATGAGTTCTCCTCCAAAGCCTTTCCCCCTAGGCTCTGAGATGGATTCTTAGACTTCCCAGTGGAGGCTGCTCGTGTGCCCCCAGAATCTGCTGTGTTTCCAGTGTGTATCCCTTGTTCTTCTCTGCTTTCAGACTTCGATGTAACCTGGGTTGATGAGCTCAGATTCCTAAAGGGGAACAACATGACCGTGGGGCGCTCTTTGTGCCCTCCCTTTGCAGATGTCCATTGGGAGTGGGTTCTTCGCTGGCCTAGAGGGGCCAGATTGAAGTGGTGGCCTGATAAGAGTTCTGGATGCTTTCTTGAGGCTGGTCCTCGGGGGCTAGGCCTAGCTTTTGGCAGAGGACTGTAGAGGACTCCTTTGGGATGTGGAGGAGGAGTCTGTTTCACAGACTCTGTCAGCTTCACTGAGTCAGAGTTTTCTGAAAAAGAAAGTGAGGCTACTTTTTTTTTTTTTACTGGTCATCTGCTGCCACTTGAGCCCCATACTTCTACCTCCCACTTTCTGCTAGTTAACTGGAGAAAAAAGCCTCTTGGATTTGTCTACCCAGGCTGGCTTTGAACCTCGATCCTCCTATCTTAGAATTCTGAGTAGCTAGAATTGTAGGTATGAGCAACCAGCACCCAGGAAAATAAGACTCCTTTAAAGAGAAAATATACCTCAAGCTCACTTAACTTGTTTTGTGTTAGTACTGGGGCTTGAACTTTGTCTGGGCACTGTTGCTTAGTTGTTTTTTTTTTTGTCGGTCGTGGGGCTTGAACTCTGGACTTGGGCTCTGTCTCTCAGCTCTTCAGCTCAAGGTGAGCGCTCTACCACTTGAGCCACAGCGCCACTTCTGGTTTTCAAGTGGTTTTATTGGAGATAATAGTCTTACGGACTTTCCTGCCTGGGCTGGCTTTGAACTGCAATCCTCAGATCTCAGCCTCCTGAGCAGCTAGGATTACAGGCATGACCCACCGGCGCCCGGCTTTGCTTAGCTCTTTTGCTTAAGGCCAGCCCTAAATAGTTAGGATTACAGGTATAAATCACTGGGGCCAACACAGGGAAGGAAAGTCCCTAAGACTCTTTTTTTTTTGTCTTTTCTTTTTTGGTACTGGGGATCGAACCCAGGAGGTTGCGCTTGCTAGGCAAGCGCTTTGCCACTGAGCTACATCCCAGCCCGTCCCTAAGACTCTTACCTCCAATTAACCATGAAAAATCAAGAATAGGAGCTGTGGCTCAAGCGGTAGAGTGCTATCCTTGAGCAAAAAAGCTCAGGGCCAAGACCCAGGCCTTGAGTTCAAGCTCTACTGGCACGCGTGTGTGTACACATGTACACACACACACCCAAACACAGAAATGTTGTTAGGTCAGACCCTGCCTCCCAAATTCCTACTTATCCCTTATATACCTGGAAGTGGCCACTCCATGTCCATACCATACTGCCTCAGGGTAAGAGAAGAGGTCACAGAAATTCCAGGCTGCAACCAATTCAGCACATCTTGGAGCTGTGGGCAGGGAAACAGGTATGAAGACCACAGTCCTGGATACCACTGCTCATACTTAATACCATAAGTACTCTGCCCCAGCAAACCTTCTCTGCCTGCAATGTAGGCAGTGCTTTTTCTAACTGACACAGGTATTCGAAAAACAGCTTTTCCATGGCAGCAAGAAAAGGTTCTCCATACTCTTGTTCAAGTTCCTGCAGAGGGAGAAAGAGGCATGCAAAAACAGGATTACGGAAAATTGAGTCATAAAACAGCTTCCAATTAGCCAGTCTCACCTGCAGGTTGGAGGCCAAATCCACGGAGTCCTCTGAGAGCTGTTTCACCTGCTGGCAAAAAGTTTCTTGTGCCTCCGAAATCTTTCTCAGATCTTGTTTTGTCTGTCGAGGACATGGATGGCAAAAGATGGCAGAATCAAGATCTAGCAGTGGAGAGGAGGGGTAACTAGTGCAGTTAGGGTACCTGCAGTTAGGGATTGTTCAGGGTTTACTCACAGCTTTAGGGTCCCGCACTCTAGGTCCAGACTGTGCAAAGTGGTGATTCAGGACGTTCAGGACGTGGGCCCAAGGCCGGCCCTGCAGGATCAGCTCCACCACCATCTGTATAGTACTGAGCTCAGAATCCCCAATTTAAGAGACTAACAACCCTTTTCCAACTAGTCCTACTCCCAACCTGTCGTCCCATTCCCAGGTCCTCGCACCCCACCCCTTTCCAGGTCCTAACTCGCTCCATCCAATACCTTGGCCTTTAGTCCCAGACACAGGCGTTCATGATGCCGGTAGAGAACCAAGCCCGGAGCGGCAGCGCGAAGCGAGTGCAGAAACTCCAGGACTCGCGGAAAATGCTCCACACAGCGTCGGCGTACAACCTGCCAGCTGGCAGCGGCTGCCAAGCGCAGGGAGGCCGGCCCGGCCCCGGGAGGCGGGTCCATGGCCCGCGGGATCCTTCCCCGGGCCGTGCCTCCTACTTCCGGACCCCTCTCACAGAAAAGCTTCCGGCGGCCCGTTGTGGCTCCGGTCTTTGGTAGGCGCTGGCTATTTAGCGACCTGGCTGACCTGTGTCCTGTAGGCCACCAGGATTCTGGAGACTTCTTGCCTGGGGTGGAACTTGAAGGAAAGAGCCGGTCGACTCCGACACCACAGATGGCTAAGCTTTCAACCCCGCCGCAGTCTTGGCGCCCCGAGCACCTCACTTCCGGATCGGTTGGCACTTTCCCTTGCCCCGGAAAGAGACGGTAAGAGAGGACCAATGGGGGGAAGTCTGGGGCTGTGACGTCAGTTCAAGGCCTTGGCGCACGGGGTTATTGCCGGGTATTGCGCTTGGCTGCTGCGGCTATAGAAGCCGCGCTTCGGGCCTGGTCAGCTTCTGCCTTGCTCCGCCGACCTTTTAGAGAAGGAGAGTCACTTCTTCGTGTCTTCTGGCTTTGTGAAGCGAGGATCGTGCTACCTCCCCTGTCTGTCGTCTTAACCGACTCAAATATGGTTCCTTAAAGCCGCCTCTGGGTGTTACAGCCACAAGACAGAAGGTGGTGCTCGCCTTCTAAAAACAAAAGCGCGGCCGGGTTGCCGCTGCGAGGTGAGAGCGCCGGCCTCGTGTGCCTAAGGCCCTGGTTCCCCCTCAGTACCGACGACTCATTAAACACGCCCGTAAATAAAACCTCACAGTTTGAAAAGAAGCGAATTGTTTACTGCGGTTTTCTAGGATTAGAGGTAATTGATCTGTGCTTCTCTATGTTACACTTCTCTGCGTAGTTGAAACTTTGAAGCTTTTCTTTTCCGAATTTCTGTTGTGCACTTAGTCATCCCCCCCCCCCCCCCCTTACTGAGTTGACTCTTTTTACTTGTCTGTGTTCTTGTCATCCTTCCTGGTGCCTCTCCTAATTTCCATTAAGTATCGAACCTGGCACACAGTGTACTACTCTCCTTTGTCGAGTTAGTTACCTGTCCCAATCACTTTACAAGCATTTAGGGAGACTGCCCGTTCTTTGGGTCCTTTCTTCCATTCCGAGGTAATAACACATGTTCTTGTCTCCACCCCCTGGTAAGTCTTAGCTTATCCACACATACTTAACTGCCCTGGAATACATAGGCACAAAGTGTTGGGGGGTATGGTGGAGTGGTAGAGCACCTACCAGACCCAGAGTTCAGTCCCCACGACCAGACCTCCCCCCCAAAAAAAAAAAATTATTTAGGCTTGCTTGAACCTCCTCTGATCTCAGCCTCCTGAGTAGCTGGGATTATAGACTTGAGCCACTGGTTCCCAGCTAGGTTTTTAGAGCCTGTTTTGGGACCTGTGACATTTTTTTTGCCAGTCATGGGGCCTGAACTCTGGACCTGGGCGCTGTCCCTCAGCTCTTCAGCTCAAGGCTAGCACTCTACCACTTGAGCCACAGCACCACTTCCGGCTTTTTTCTTGCTTATGTGGTGCTGAGGAATCGAACCCAGGGCCTTATGCATGCAAGGCAAGCACTCTACCACTGAGCCACCTTCCCAGCCCCAAAAGACTTTATTATTATTTTTTTTCCTGAAAGTTGTGGGGCTTGAACTGAGGGCCTATGCTTTGTTCCTGATCTCTTTTGTTCAAGGCTAGCACTCTACCACTTTGAGCCACAGCTCCACTTCCGGACCTGTGACTTTCTTAAGTATTTCTCAGTCCCTATTCATTCCAATCCTCCTTTGTCACCTCTTCTATCCCTCAGGAAAGTAGCAGGAGCTGAATAGTTCCTTTTTTGGCTTATTTAGACTCATTTAGCGACTCATTCAGCTCATTTAGACTCATTTAACAACCTGAATTAGAATTAGTTTTTCCTGAGCTCATGCCTTGTTGAAAGCTCTGTCTTATCCTCCCCTGATGCCAGGGTGCTTGAGGGGAATGAAACTGGTAAAGCTTCTAGAGATAAAATTCATAAAGTGTGAAGACCCCCTTAAGTAAAAGGCATCTTGGAGTTTTTAACTCTTAGATTCATCTACACTGGGCCTCCAGCGACTTGTCACTCACAGTTTTAAGTTTTCTAACCTGGTTATTGGTTTCCATAGAAGTTTCTAGTCCTGATCTACGTTTGGTAGGTTGTGATTCTCTGTAACTACCTGTTGGTGTTTTGATTTTTGGTGTTTTTTTTTGTGTGTGTGTGCCAACACTAGGGCCTGAACTCATGTTCTTGCTTGGCTTTTTATGTCTGTCTGGACTGGCTTCAAACTGAGATCCTCAGATCTAAGCCTCCTCTGTAAGTAGAATTACAGGTATAAGCCACTGGCACCCAGCTAAGACTTCTTAAACTCTAAGACTCAAGAAAATATGTGGTTGGAATTTAGAACACCAGCCACATGGTCTCATCATTACTGCCGGAGAAAGGTGTATGCTGGAGGAACCCAGAAAAAAAGTGAAGCTGAGTAGAAAATATGGGAGGTGATTGTGGACTGCCCACAGTAGCATCAGATTTTTTTGGGGGGGTGGTCATGATGCTTGAACTCTGGGCCTGGGCACTGTCCCTCAGCTCTTCAGCTCAAGGCTCAAGTGCTCTACCACTTGAGCCACAGCACCACTTCCAGTAGCATCAGATTTAGACTCTTAAAAACTTGTTTTCTGGGCCTGCTATAGGGATTCTGACATGGGAGGTATATGTAAGGGTCCCCAATCTGAATTATTAATAAACATTTCAAGTGATTATAATGAAAGTAGAGTAGTCTAGAGACTCTACTAAAATATGGGAACAATTTTATTCAAATCATGGCTGAAGGCCTCCAAAGGTCACCCAAAGGAGTAATTTCAGATAGAAGGGAGCTATATGAGTACTGGTCTGAGCATAGCCTCTCCTCTTGCAGTGTCATCTCTATGGTTATGGGTACCAGTCCCTGTATCAGTGGATACCTCATTAATCACTCTTATTCTCCCAAGTCAAAACTGGGAGGAAGCCACTTAGGAGGCTAAGATCTGAGGGTCTAGATTTGAAGCCAACTTTTATAGCAAAGTCCATCAGACTCTTACCTCCAATTAACCACCAAAAAGCCAGAAGTGAAGCTGTGGCTCAAGTGCTAGAGTACCAGTCTTGAGCAGAAAAGCTAAGGGGCAGGGCCCAGGTCCTGAGTTCAAGCCCCAGGACCAGCACAAAAGAAAAGAAACTTGATCCAGGCACTGGTGCTCATGCCTGTAATCCTAGCTACTCAGGAGGCTGAGATCTGAGGATCACAGTTTAAAGCCAGCCTGGGCAGGAAAGTCCGTGAGACTTATCTCCAATAAATCACCAGAAAAACTGTAAGTGGCACTGTGGCTTAAGTGGTAGAGCACTAGCCTGGAGCTGAAGAGCTGAAGGACAGCACCCAGGCCCAGAGTTCAAGCCCCATGACCAACAACAACGACAAAAAGAAACTTGGAAGGTTATCTTTTCTGTTCCTCTCCACCCTCTATCCAGCCACTTCCCAATTCTGTCCAGTTGACCTCCTTTGCACTATTTTCTTCTGTCTTGAGTACCACCACTTTAGCCTGAATCACTCTCTTTACCATGAACTTTACAGTCACTTCCCAGTCTGTGTGTACATTCACTCTAGCTCTGCTTTAATCCACTTTTGACACTGTAGACAGAACAATCTGTTCCCAATATACAATCTAGTCCTTTCACCTCCAATCTTTGAAACTTTTTACTGCTTTTCTAAATTCTAAGTTTTTTTCTTATTTATGGCAGTACTGATGCTTTCACTCAGGTTCTCAAGCTCTCCCTTAGCTTTTTTCACTCAAGGGTAGTGTTCTGCTACTTGAGCCACACCTTCACTTCTGGCTTTTTGCTGGTGCACTGGAGATTAGAGTCTTGGAGGGTGGGAGTTTCTGCCCAGGCTAGCTTTGAACCACGATCCTCAGATCTCAGCCTCCTGAGTAGCTAGGATTATAGGTATGGACCACTAGTGCCCATCTAAAACACCTTTCCTCACAAATAAAACAAAATTAAATTAAAAAAAAAACACCTTTCCTTTAAAAACAACAGCCGGGCGCTGGTGGCTCACGCGTGTAATCCTAGCTACTCTGGAGGCTGAGATCTGAGGATCGCAGTTCAAAGCCAGCCTGGGCAGGAGAGACCATGAGACTCCTATCTCCAATAAACCACCAGAAAACCAGATGTGGCTCTGTAGCTCAAGTGGTAGAGTGCTCGCCTTGAGCTGAAGAGCTGAGGGACAGTACCCAGGCCCAGAGTTCAAGCCACACTCAGTTCCCCCAAGTGCCCACTATCTCTCTCCTACCCACTGTTATTCTAGCTATCAGTCCCACATTCTCCCCACAACGCTGCACACTGTCTTCGACTGCTCCCCCATACTCCCTATCACCCTCCAGTTTAATTTTTTTTTTGAGATGAGGTCTTATAATGAAGCCCAGACTGACTCTGAACTCATGATCCTTCAGCCTTAGTCTCCCCAAATATTAGGATTAGCCACCACACATAGCACACCTTCCAAACAATTATGAGCGCCTGCCATGTGCCATGGGTTGTGACTCAGCCATGGGGAAGAGAGAGAAGGTGCCTCTCTCATGGGAAAGAGGGAAACTAGATTCTGAAAGTCCTATCAAGTTAACCCTGAAAAGTAGGGATTCTAATGCCACCCCCAGAAAATTAAACAGGTCCTCTCCATAGAGCATCTCAGTTGAGCTGCACAGGATAGGGGCTTACATGGTTCTTGCCTCCAAGCTGTGTGGAGAATAGCATTACTTCCAACAGAGAACCAGGGAGAGAGCCAGAAAAACAACTTTGTAGCAACTTACAAAGCTAGAAATTTTAATTTGTTTTGTTTTGGTAATGGGCCTGAGTCCCAGGGTCTGGACCCTAGCCATCTACCACTTGAACCATTGGTTTTTTGGTGGTTAATTGGAGATAAGAGTCATGGATTTTACTGGGTAGCTAGTATTAGGTGTGAGACACTGGCCTGGCAAGTTAGAGATTTTAAGCTCACACAATAGCAATATTTCTCCTAG